AGTTGGCCTAACCATTGTAATCGGAGACCCGTTCGAACTGAGCCAGCCAGTCTTCGGCATCCTCCAAGACGGAACCGTGGAACACCTTCAGCACACGTGGCTTGCACAGCGTATGAGGCGTGGCTTCAGCGATTTCTTGTGCGTTGGAGGCTGCAGCACCTTATCTACCTTTTGGGGGCGTGAAAGATGTTATCCCAGGAAGACGTCCACGCTCAGGAGGTAGTCCTCGCAGTCTTCGGTTTGAGCGGTGAACAGGTTTTGTCACTGCAGGTACAAGGCTACCTGGAGGCGTTTGGAACATCGGCTGTGGGTTATCCAGCAGCTCCACCAGTTGTCACGTGCTACAAAAAGTCTTCAACTCGGAAGAACTGAGCCGGCGAGAGACGCACCGAAAACTGTCAAGATGGCTGCTTCAATATTCAGCAACAACTAACCAGAGTGCGCACTGCCCAGAACATCGTCTGCCATTCTCGCGGGCAGGCCGCGGCTTGCGCTCAGCGTACCTAGCCGCCAAGTGGCAATATGAGTTACAGCGGAAATTCAACAACCTCCTTTTTTTCAGCCAAGGGTTGGTGACTAAACTACAAAATTGAATTCCAGCCAACAGATGGGCATGTAATGGTAAATCATGCCAACCGAAGAGATATATTTCAGAACATTTATGTCGGCCTGAACTGAACTGTACATTCACCGGTGTCATCATTGTTTCTCCATTGCATTATAGTTCGATATATTTGGCTAATTCGTTGTCTTCTACTTCAAAAAAATAATTGTGATTGAAATAGTTAAAACTCATGATTCTTTGGAGATAATGGTACCTTAAAAAGGTGCTTGTCTGGGCTGCGCCTTAATTTCTTCATCGCGTTTATCGGGTATTTGTATTTCTTTTAAAGTCGCAGCTCCAAAGTGCCTGGCTAGCTATATAAGGGTGTCAGCGTGATTGATAAAGTGAATAAAAACGAAAAAAACTACAGCATATACACGGGGTGAAGGATAGGGAGACGCTGAATGTGCTCCTAAGGAAAGTTATCAAGCAGTTCCTGGGTCTACTCATGCATAGCAGCACAGAGCGTCTGCTTCAGCTTGGCATTCACAACACGCTCGAACAGATAGCAGAAGCCCAAGAGAGAGCACAATTTGCAAGGTTATCTACAACAAGGTCGTGGAGAATGATCGTGCAGGAGCTGGGCCAATATCCAATGGCAATTAGACGCAATTACAATGATGTCCCCGACAACATCAGGGAGAGTATCACGGTATCTCCTATACCACGAAATATGCATCCAGAACACAACTTCAGAAGAAAGAGTAGTGAGGGCAAGGACTATACTTCGTCAAGCCTCAAACGAGGAACGAGGGGTCGTATTTTGTTGACGCGGCTTCCTACGCCAATGTGAAAGCTTTTGTGGCAGTGGTGGTCGATGGGGCTGGCCGTGTCATCAACTCAGCGACGGTCAGGACGAAAGACCCTGTCATTGCAGAACAGGATGCCATCGCATTAGCACTGAAGATGGATGACATAGAAGTCGTCTACAGTGATTCGATGGAAGCACTACGGGCCTTCGCAAAGGGGACGGTCTCAGAACAAACGCTGAGAATACTGACATGATTTGGCCGCAAATAATAAACACACAAAGTAATACTACATGGCAAGAACATAACGCATCATCTTCTGAGTTGGTTCCCAGCTCAACTTGGACAAGTCAATGACTCCCCTCCCAATCACAATGAAGCAGCACACGAGGCGGCGCGAGACCTCTCCAACCGCGCCTCCCGGGGGATGCGTTTTACCGGTGAAGGGGATAACCGGGAAATTCTTACAACATATAACGAGCTAACTATACATTTCTACCTGTCTAGAAGGATTTTACCTCCACCTCACAAAAATCTAACTCGGTCCCAAGCACTTACATTAAGGCTTCTGCAAACGCGGATATACCCTACTTTGAGAATGTTACACATCATGTACCCAGACCTATACCCAAGTAATATTTGCCCACATTGTGGGGAAATAGCTTCATTAGAACACATGCTCTGGCAGTGTATCAAATTTGCCCATTTATTGCACATCACCTCTGCCAGATGGGAGGCAGCAATCCTCAGCTCGTCCTTTGCAGATCAGCTCTGGGCTTTCCACCAATCACGCGAGGCTGCAGAAGAGCTCGGCATCTCAGTCCCCACGTGGGAGCTGCCCACAACACAGTGATCTTTGTTTTAGAGGACCAAATAAAACTTTATCCAATCCAATCCAATACAATTCAATGGTTATCAGGGACGCCGTGTTTGAAAACTGCCTATTCATTTCATCACCTACACTTCTTAAGTATGCATTTACATGTAAGTACGTAGCTGCTGAGCGCTGCTGCTTTCAAAGATATGCAACTATCAGGGCAAGTATTCGATCCGAGTGCACCAATATTACGAAATTAACACCTCAGCAGCAAAATGAACAGCGCGAAGCTTATACAGAATTGTGGTTGCAGATTGATGTGCACGAGTGTTGTGTGCATTCTGCTTTCCATTGGTTTACTCGGACGAAAAAAAAATATCACAATATAGCGTGTATTAGCAGTGAGCTGCTGTCACGCATGTCCCCCAAAGGTAAGATGTTCATAATTTCACCTTTTCTGCTTGCATCGTCAGATCTAGATCATCACGCCATGTACTTAATGCGGCAGAATTGAAAAAGGTTGACCATTCGTTCGGCACAGAAAATACCTAATACTGCTTCTTGGTTGAGTTGGATGGTATTTAAGAAATAGTACTGGTCCAAAATTGTGGAACACTTTTTACGCCACCACATGAGCACATTGTTAAGGTATAGAATGTAAAATTCGAAGCAAAAGGACTGTACGAGAAATTAAAGTGAGAGCAGTTATTGAAATTGGTATATTTCAAGAAGAGCTTCTGTGTAGAGACATTTTTAGTGCAAAGGAACATGAAGTGAACTGTTCACTACGTATTACAGTATATAACAACGAACATGAGGTAGATTATTCACTACGTATAACGAACGGTATCTTAAAATGGGACGTGGCGAAAACATGACCCGTTAATATGTCAGAATACATGACCCGTTCATAAGTCAGAATTTGGAACAAAAGATTGCTTATTTGAAAGGACATGGTAAGAATACCTGTGTAGTTTTTTATTACATACTGCCTCTGGAACGTTTGTTTAATTGTATCTGAAGCCGCATTGATAGTTACGGCGCCGTAACCATTCAGAAGAAATCAGGTGTTTCTACCATTGGCTTTCTGAAACAGCTAGAAGACTTCTTTAGGTACCTTTTCTCAATATGTGTAGAGAATTACTAATTTCTGCCTTCTGTTATATGCATAGAGTCCTCAGTAGCGCGTCTCGTAGGTGACATGTATTTAGCCAGCCTGGGAAGAGAGAGTGTGGCATGCGTGGCTGTGGCAGACAGGGGTCGCATTCGTGTTTAGTTTCTAGGTTATTAGCAAGTTTGGTACGATTAGTTGAGAATTTCATAGAGTGCCTCATAAGGTAGCAATAATTTTCATGAATGTCTAGACTCATTTATTGTGATGTGTGTAATACCACAAGAGCCATCTATCTTATTTTTATACAGCAAAACAAAGCTGAAACTTGAGTATATCTGCTGGACGTATGACCCGTGCACGCTGGGAAGCCTTTCTTGCCATGTTGAATATCGGGCTCTAAAATTGTAAAGAGTGCATGGGTTAGTGCTTGTTACAGGAGCGTTAGGCGTAAGTCATTCAGACACAGATCATACAGTTTTGAGAAGCAACTGGAGCACATGTCTTTGTCGCAGCACGCTTCTCACGTGCTGTTAGCCGTTGTGAAATACATGCACCGAGACAGAAATTGCCGACAGGGTTTAGGAGCACGTGTCAACTGAAAGAAAGAGAACTGCTGTGTGCCATATATGCATAGGTTATCGCACTATCTGAAAATGATTTCCCAACACTGCCTCATGAAGAATGTCAACTCGGCCCATGAGAACCTTTCTGGGTGTGTAGGATTACTCCCAGGAAACACGCACAAGTTTGGAATGAACTACTACCATCATTTTTACCGTGTGAGCAAGGATTCGTGTGATATGTGTGGTTTAACGTCCCCAAACCACCATATGATTATGAGAGACACCGTAGTGGAAAACTCCAGAGATTTCAGAAACGTGCGGCGAAATCTGAGCACATGGGCATACAGCAGTTTCGCCTCCACCAAAAATTCAGCCGCCGCAGCGAGAATTTGATCCCGTGACCTGCGGATCAGCAGCCGAGTACCTAAGCCACTAGACCACCACGGCGGGGCAAGGAGTTGTGTGCTCCACGCCCCCTCTTGTGCGGAAGCTACTACGTCGAACAAACTTGCAAGTGCATAAACGTCTGTCGTAAACAGCGCCGACTGAACCGGGGAGTATTACCTGTCCTCTGGCGATGCACTGCAATGATTGCGGCTGCTCCACGTATTTAGAATGATGCATTGTCATAGCCAGGCACGGCGAGCAATTCGTTTGGGAAATTTTAGAGGCAGCTGAATTTCTGAGGTTCAGTAACTTATAGGTCAGTAGGCCCTCACTTTTTCTCTCCGAAGAGGAAGTACGCTGCCAACAACGCATGTCTTTTCAGTAGCTTGTTTACCAGATTTTGAAACATTTCTCGGTATTTTCACTTTTGTCTGGTGTAGATTCTATAGCATATCTAACTTTATTGTTGATCGTAGTTGCTTTAACGACCTATAAACTGTGAAATAATGTTTTTTTATACCAGAGATGTGCTTGATGTACGAAATTTCAGAGTGCGCTGTCACACTTTTTTATTGTTTTTTAGGGCAACATGTTGTCGCGAAGTTTTTTTTTCGCTACACTTCACAAAATCATATTGCTATTAGTTTGATGCCTGCCATAAAACAGAATTGCGTTAATTGTAATAAATCTGTTCAATGCTGGGAGGCTGTGTCCCTCCTCAAATATTCAGTTTCTTTTTGTTATTTTTGTCCATGAACTCTTTCAGATCTATGAAACATACTACAAGCAAAAGCGAGGAAATAATGCATTTATGGTTGTACCAATACTTCTTCATCCAAAATCGTCTGGCTTCATCCGGCTAAGAAGCACAGATCCTGAAGAATATCCTATCATTGATCCTAAATTTTTGACAAATGTTGCCGACATCGACGCACTAGTTCAAGGTGAGCATGTACGGGCACTACTTTGTTTTCAATTGTGTGAAGACACACTCATAATTTGTATGACAGAAGCTAACACAAAATGAAGCCGAAAAAATAAGGTTTTTCTGCTAACACCTTTCTCTTCAATCAGTCTCGAGCGCATGTCAACACAATCAATGAAAGCGACTTCCCACCATCTCAAAGCCATACTTCCGACCATGCTATCTCTGCACTTTGTCCTCTAGAAATAGATGAGTGATGAGGCTACACAGCTTTATGCATAACCAAACACTCAATAACGCTTACGCTAATCGGTGGGTGTCGAACACAATAAGTCATGATTTACATATGCGCAGCATGTGGTCGTTGAGATCAAGCCAGTGTGCGTGTGGCATATTTAGCCTTACTGCGCATGCGCTATCTCTTTCCCTTCTCTCCTAAGATCCCCCACTTTTGCCTCGCCACGCCAACGCCGGCAGCGCCTTCTGGCTTAATATCTCTCCGGCTCTCTCTCCTCTAGGCCTCCCTCGCAACAACGTTTGCACCACCATTGCAGATGCGCCTCGCCTCTCCTCCCCTTATCTCTCCTCTCCTACGTCCCCCCTTTCCTGCATCGCAAGACCAGCGCAGCCAGCGTGTGCTAGCCAGCTTATTATTGAACAAAAAAAATCTCTTGCTGCACAACCCTTCACTGACCACCCCACTATATACATAAGTACGGCATCTTTACCTCTAAGGTAGTGCAGGTGGGAAATGTTTCCTGTGTGTTGTTGAAGAATAAAAATTCCTAGCGTGCGCTTAACGCGTGATTTTGCCTCTCGTGGTTTTTATCGTGCGCAAAGCCGCAATTAGCACCATGGGCAACGCTGCCGCCCGGATAAGCATTAGCACCCGCTGCTTCGCATCAAAGTACATCCATAAAGATCGTGCAGTTCCTGAAGGTAGCACTTCATCACTTCGGTTTGACTCAACTCTCTGTTGACGCTACCTACACACACGAACTAATTGATCTGTTTATGAATGCTGTTTCTTACGCTGATATAATTCATACCGGAGTTCTAATGTTCATCTTCCATGCGCGTCTGTGTTGCCGACTCGAAGATGTACTCACGCTTGCTCTGAATAAAGCTGTCTACATCACTGTTGAAGCTGTTGCCGTCACGCGAATGTCTACTGCTCAAAAAAGCATTCCTGGCCGCCACGTTCCCGTCCTTTTTAAGGTGCTCTGCAGTTGCCCTGGTGTCCTAATTTTAGGGATAGACTTTAGAATTCCCACTAAGTATTCCGCCCTGATCCACTGTTCTGCAGGTACACTCGCTGGAAAGTTTACTTTCTGCCGGATACAAGCATACTAGCACCGAACACTAGAACATCCTCTGTACCACAGACTTTATCTGCATGCTGTCCAAATCCCTAAAATTCGTCGAACAGGCAACATCTTCACGTATTATTCACGGTGACTTCATCGGCGAGCGTTTGTCGATGTGCTTTGAATTCATGCAGAGGTTTCAGCCCAAGGCACACCAGTCTCTATGGCACAATCCTTATCTGACGACTATGCCACCGTTTTCACAGCAGTCGTGTGCTCAGATGTTTCTTGTCGACCGCGGGTTGTCCCATGCCTCCACATGGCATTACGCCTCATGTTCACTCTGTACCTTGAACATGGACAATGAGCCACTCTGAGACGCTTTCTGGCTTCTTGTCATAGCATGTTCGACAGTGACAACATACCTCTAGGCCAGACTTCTCTTCACCGCACAAACACTGCTGATGTTCCACCCATTTATCGCCAACCACATCTGATGCCCGCTGTAGAGGTCGCCCAACTGGAAAACAACAAGACGCTACACAGCGACATTGTTGAATCCTCATCTAGAGTTTTTTGAACCCTGAATAAATTTGTCGAAGTGCCGCGTCGGCAGCGAGCAGAGTAGTGTTGGCCAACGTCACCGATGCATCACGTGTGCCCTGGACCCAAAGTAAATTTGTTTATTTGCGAGTTCTGATGTACCCCACTCAGTCCAAAACATCCAGAGTTTCGCGTGGCCCTGGTCTTACTTCAGAAGGTTCGTGAAAGATTTCGCATCAATCGCTTGGTCAATTACTGAGCTTTTAAAGAAAGACTTGCATTTTGTGTCGGGTTCCGCCTCAACTACCCCCTTTTTCCACATAGTCCCAATTTCGGCAACGCCACTTATACTAGTCATTTGGTGTATCCGCTCCGACAAAGGTAGGAACCAGCGGTAGTGTTAACGGGATCGAAGCCGCCTAACGCCAGCGCCAACGGGGCTAGACAACCTCGTGTTATCAGCTAGGCTAACCATCTCTTTAGAGCTGCCTAGTGCAGGTATTTAAAAACAGAACGCCAATGCCTTCATCTGGTCTGAACAGTCACAGTTTCACCCATTATACGGAAAACTTTCTGCTGTATAACAGACAATCATGCGCTTTTTTGGCTTCCTGCAATGAATGACCCTACTGAACGGCTCGGGTCTGCAACTTCAAGATTGTACCTAACGAATAACGCACAAATCCAGACGTCTATGCCAGGACGCATACTGCCTGGCTCACTGCCTGGTCGGTAGGTGGAGTGTAATCCCTGACACTCATACAATCGCTTGCGTCTTTCCCGTTTCCTTACAGACGCATATTGGCAATTACCACCTTCCTGGTGCATCTTCACGTATTTTGATCGAAACCCTAGAATTATTGTGTACCAAGCAGTCCCGTCACTCATTTGTCCTCCAAGATGGTGCATTGTGCCAGCACAAGTTTCACACAAATTGACCAACATTGCTGATTGTTCTTCTGAAACACTTCCGCTCGGCTGTTCGAGAACTTCATTACATGCCACGGTGGTAGCCCTCGTGTATCATGCACTTACAACAGGATCCCCCATGTTTTCATTGGCCTGGGCTTGCACACTTCGTCAGAATATACATTGTGACGTGTGAAAAAAGACGATGCGGCGAAACACCATCGACTTCGGCTGCTTTGACAAAAGGTGGTAGCTGGGGACACATACAACGCAACATGCTTCGCCATTACACCCACTCTTCCCACAAGTTGGGTGACGAACGTCACTGACTTCCTCCTGAACAAAGCAATTTAACATGGAGCTCGATGCCAGCTGCTTACGGACCGTGGCCGAATATTTGTGTGGCAGGTGATCACCGACATCATGCAGAGAGCCCTTCTGCTGCTGTGAGCTATGCTACATGCACAGCCTCTTCAAACACACGCGTGTACGCAGGATGAAGAGAAGCAATATCTCTCCCCTCGGGATAAGGGTTGAAGCGGTCAGTGCTGCAACGACTGTTGTAAATATGTCCTACTAATAGTCTGCAGAGTATAGTCTAACGACTCGACATTCGTTTTAGAACATGCATTATGACTATTTGAGATATAAAGTGTGAATTGGCGAGTTAGCATTACTGGGACTAATTACCAAAACCTCAATCACGACAAAATTTGTAACCGCTCCCACAATAGACTGAGAAACATATCCCCTAAGTGTGCTTCCCGTATGCGTAAATTGTATGGATGGTTTCGTCCGATTACCTCTATCCGCCGCACGATGCCCTCGAAGCGGAGACACATCTGCAGTGCGTGTTGGGCTCATTTTATTTGCTACATTATTAATCGTGGCACTTGCGCATCTCAATAAGCGGCCTTTTAAATCATAAAATGCCTACATAAAAAACTGATGTTATTGCAGCGATAAGTTAAATTTGATGTTATCATAACTGGACTCTACTGTAAACAAGCGTAAGAGGCAGAAACGTTCTTTTTTGTCAATTAGCGCTGTTCCTAGTTTCAATATATATATATATATATACTATATCATCCCTGATGAAGGGAGGACCCCTCCCGAAACTGTGGGAAATAAATATGTTTATCCTTGTTGACAACGCTCCCTTTGTGCCATACCCCATATATCTATATATAATATATATATATATATATATATATTTAAAGGGGTGTTTCACACTTGCCGCTTGGCTAGAGATGGTGATGACTGACACTCCCACGTTTAAAGTCACATATAAACCCTATAATGTGGCTAGGGGGTGATAGACGCCATGATAGCTCAGTGGTTAGAGCATCGAACGCGTTATTCCGAGGTCGTAGGTTCAATTTCTGCTCACGGCCAGTTATTTTTTTT